TTCCTCTAAAAAAATTGAAGAAAAGTGAATATTAGACGGTTCAAAAAATATCGCAGTGTTTGTATTCTTCTTTACACACTCAAACATTCACTATATAAACTGAAAAATGTTTGAAGATTTTGCTTTTTTTTTGAATCACTTAATGAATATTTGGTTGTAGTCGCACTGTTTCTGAGAACTGCTGTACATCTGTGTTGCATGGAGTCACCCAACTTCTGGCCCCTGTGATCAGGTATTCCAGCCCAGGATGATTGGACCACATTCCACAGTTCTTCTCTATTTCTTGGTTTTGCCTCAGAAACAGCATTTTTGATGTCACCCCACAAGTTTTCTATTGGATTAAGATCCGGGGATTGGGCTGGCCACTCCATAACGTCCATCTTGTTGGTCTGGAACCAAGATGTTGCACGTTTACTGGTGTGTTTGGGGTCGTTGTCTTGTTGGAACACCCATTTCAAGGGCATTTCCTCTTCAGCATAAGGCAGCATGACCTCTTCAAGTATTCTGATGTATTCAAACTGATCCATGATCCCTGGTATGCGATAAATAGGCCCAACACCGTAGTATGAGAAACATCCCCATATCATGATGCTTGCACCACCATGCTTCACGGTCTTCACAGTGTACTGTGGCTTGAATTCAGTGTTTGGGGGTCGTCTGACAAACTGTCTCCGGCCACTAGACCCAAAAAGAACAATCTTACTTTCATCAGTCCACAAAATGTTGCGCCATTTCTCTTTAGGCCAGTCAATGTGCTCTTTGGCAAACTGTAACCTCTTCAGCACACGTCTTTTTTCCAACAGTGGGACTTTGCGGGGGCTTCTTGCAGATAGCTTGGCTTCACATAGGCGTCTTCTAATTGTAACAGTCCTCACAGGGAACGTCACACCTTCTTTCATCTTCCTGGAGCTGATTGTTGGCTGAGTCCTTGCCTTTTTGGCTATTCTTCTATCCATTCCAATGGTAGTTTTTCGTTTTCTTCCACGTCTTTCAGGTTTTGGTTGCCATTGTAAAGCATTTGCGATCATTTTAGCTGAGCAGCCTATCATTTTCTGCACTTCTTTATATGTTTTCCCCTCTCCAATCAACTTTTTAATCAAGGTACGCTGTTCTTCTGAACAATGTCTGGAACGACCCATTTTCCTCAGAATTTCAGAAATGCACTGTAACCAGCATGTCCAACATTTGCTGCCTTCCTTCCTTAAATAAGGGCAATAATTGCCACCTGTTTTTCAAAGAATGAATGACCTCACTAATAGAACTCCACACTGCTATTATTTTGAACATGCCCCTTTCAATGAGTGATTCAATGACACAGAATCAGCAGCATGCATGTCATGACTGTTGGGTTTCTATTACTCTACTACACCTGCTAGTAAATTATTTGCCATGTAGAAATATCATTTCTACCAAAAACAGTGATTGATCAGGTTAGATACACAGAGATGAAACAAATCTTCCTACACAAGCTATATCTGTTAATCTACAGCTGTCTTTCCCCTACATCCATTCAAATCGCAGAATTTACACAGGATCTCTCCGCTCTGGAAAGCAGGGGGTGGGAAGCTGAAGTTACATCAGTAAGGAGAGCTCTGATTGCTGATTGGAGGGAAAGGATGCACCCCCCTTCACACAGCACACAGGAACAGAGCTGATGCTGTCAATCACAGGCTGTGTTGTTATCATTACCTTTTTTCTCTTGGTGTCAGGAGAACTCATAAGAAGTGAATTATGGTTATAGCAGAAGAACGAGGCAGCAGACAAATGACACAATGCTCTGTATTGAGACAAGAACACAGTATAGAAGGATATGCTTTGTTCACATCTGAGGTTTATACCACTTTAACCACTTCAAGTCCGGACACTTTTACCCCCTTCCTGTCCAGGCCAATTTTCAGCTTTCAGCGCTATCACACTTTGAATGACAGTTGCGCAGTCATGTGACACTGTACCCATATGAATTTTTTAGCAATTTTTTGTGGTATTTATTCACCACTGGGATTTTTATTTCTGTGCTATATAAATGGAAAAGTCCAAAAATTTAGAAACAAAAGTGTTTTTCTTATAACATATTGCAAATAAATCTTTTTTCATAAATCTTGGCCAAAATTTATCTTTTTAGTTAAAAAAAAAAAAAAAAAAAAAAATTTATAACCAAGAATTTTTTTTTTTTTTTTTTACATTTTATATTATTTATTTTTTTAACATACTGTCACTCTAGTGACACTGTACTACTTGTGGGGGGTGGTGAAGATTTTTTTTTTCTTTTTTTTACACCGATTGCTTTTATACCCATATAGGCTGTAAAAGCAATAATTTCTCCTTCTCTTTGGCTGCATTCCTGCAGCCATTGAGAAATACTGTGCGAGCTGTGATTGGTCACAGCTTGTCACATGGTACAAGGCTGTTGTGAATAGTTCTGTACCATGTGATCTCTGTGATCATTCACAGATTTCACACGTAGTAAGCAATGATGTCAGGAAGTAACATCTGGTTTACTACTATTCATGTGATCGCTGATTGGCTAATCAGCGATCACATGATCGGGACCTCACACAGGAGTTCCTGTACAGCGATCTATGTTCCGCTGTGTCTTCCAAACACAGCGGGCACTGATCGTGGTGCCACGCACTCCCAGGGAGTGTGCACAGGCAGTGGATGCAGGGGGACGTTTAGAAACTTGCGTTCTATTAAAAAAAGACATATGTGCTGAGAGCGTGCGCCCTGCGCTCTCCCAGCACACATGTGCGGTACTCACGGAAAGGTCCCAATCTCCTCTTTCGAGCAGGACCTTTCCCGATCATGTGACAGCGTGTCACGGCGTTCACATGACCCTAAACCCCACCTCCCGGCTTCTGAAACCCTTAAAGGGCTGGGAGGCGCCGGCGCTAAGGGGTTAACTTTACAGAACAGGCCTAGTTGAATGCGACTATTAGTAACCAACTGCACTAAAATATTTTTTCTGCCAAAGTTCCGTTAAATTTAAATTTTCACTGTCAGTGAAGTTTATATCAACTGTAAACAGACTCGATTTTGTCTCTTCTAAAAAGCCTCATTGTTGCATGAAAAAAAAAAAAAATAAATAAAAAACTCTCAGTTAAAGAACAGTACTTTATTTCAGATTGGTTCTGTAGTTTTATATAAACCAAGAAAGTATTACAAAATCTGTTTAATAATTTTCACCAAAATAGTGTGATTTAAAGGAGTCATACAAGTGTGTGAACTGGTCCCTCATTTAATAACCCCCAATGTATAAAGTGATAAATGTCATTCTGCAGTTTGTGGGGCTACAATGTTTTAACAGCAATATCTGGTTAGCTGGCTGTCCTGCCAAGGTAGCTTCACAGTAGCAGCAAGGGAAGCAGAAGGTGGAGTTAGACTTTAAGGAGCCCCAGTGCAGTCATTAAGAAAAAAAAAGCCCAAAAATGTGAAGGATGAGAAGAATTCTGTACTTTTAACAGATGAAGGTCTTTGGGCATTTTTGAAGAGCCATGTTTGCTCTAGGCCTGTGTGCCTCATTTGTTTTGTTGTAATTGCAATGTTGCCAAGTCAGCCTGAGCTGGGTTTACAAAACTGCTCTGAAATTCTGATTGACAGTTAAAGGAGAAGTTCACTTTTAAAAAAAAATAAATAATAAAAAAAAATGCATATTTTTTGCTTGTAAAAAAAAAAAAAAGTGCATTTATTTTTTTTTTCTAAGGAGCCTGCAGAGCATTGCACCCATGATCAGCAGATCAGGAGTGCAATCTCAGGCTCCTGCAGACTCGGGATAGCGGTCTGCCCCTACCTCCCGTACAGGCAGGCAGTTACCTGAAAGCAAGCAGAATCGATGAACTAGCAGTGTGCTCACCAGCTCCCTCATAGTTCACAGAGAATGTCTACAAGTACTGTCATCCATTGCAGTTGATGGTACTTGTAGACATTCATTCACAGGAAACTGTGAATGAATGACGCAGCCGCATGGGCGGAGCCCCGCTCAGCTGTGCTATTTTCAAATGGTGACAGTGGGTGTAGGAGAGAAGAAACGGGTGTGTTTGCAATATGTAACATGTTCTGAAGGTGAAGTTACTCAATAAGCTCATAATTCCTACCTTTCCCACAGTCCAGTCTCCCAGAGCTGCCATTATACCAGAAAAGCAACAGAGAGGCACCTGAGACCAAGAGTAGGTCTTAAGGCAAATGTTTCCTTTGTCAATGTCTACAAAAACCAATTTCCATAGAGGAACCATTCAGCTTATAAACAGATCTCTGGTGCACGACCAGCAAACATAACGTAGTCATTCTAAAAACAGGGTCACTGTGGAACCATAGGGTTCCTCCAGAGGCTTCTAGGGGGTTTCTTGAGCTGTGGCTGAATGACCTCCCATCTGATATTGCCTGTATAGGTTTCAGGTTCAGGGCCACTTGGGAGATCTTTTTTAGCTGTTCTTTTTAGAGTGGCATTCTGACTGCCACTGTAAAGTCTGCATCTTTTCCACAGCCCACCAATGCTGGAGGCCTTTTTCCTGCTGACATCTAGCAAGGGTTTCCTGAAAACTATTTCAAAGGTTCCTCAAGTAAAAAAAGTTGAAAAAGGCTGATCTAATGGGTCATTTCATCTTGCCCCCATCCTTCTATGACAGTCATATGTTGCTGCCTTCTGCTGCTGTTTGCAGGTGGGGGAGACTGGTGGAGAAAGAAATGGGGCTAAGTTGCCTAATTTTGGCTAAAAGTCAAAATGTACATAGCAGTAACACGGCTGTGTAGTCTACCTTGGTTGCACATTCTTTGGAAAGGAGTGTTTGAAATAGCTGATGGAAGGAGTTATAAAGGCACTACTATTACGAGCATAGAAGGGTTTAATTTTACCATGACAGTCTCAAAATGCACGGACATCTTCATCAGTAGAAGATTCGGGTATAGCATCTCTCCTCTACCTACCCCTTCCATTATGTGTATTGCTGGAGTACATGGCTCTTTAAAGAGGACCAGGACCACAGTACAGAGCATGTCTCCTCGGTCTACGTGAAGGAATGGGTGTAGAAGACATCCACATTATCTTGGTAGTTAAGAGGCAGATCTTGCCCGATGTTCTTGGCTCCCAGACAGGCTCCGCCCACAGCCGACGACTGCTTGAGCCTCAAGAGGCTGAACCGCAACAGACTGTTGCCATGTTGGCTGCTCCGGGCTTTGTCCAGGACCTGGATAAAACCTGCATGGGTGGAGAACTAGTTAGTGCATCTGAAGACTGTACACGATTTATAATTCACAAGGGCAGCACAGTAGATGAGTGGTTAGTACTTCCGCCTGGTAGTACTAGGGTATTCGGTTCGAATCCCACAGCACGACCTGCCTGGAGTTTGCATGCTCTCTGTGCCTGCGTGGGTTTCCTCTCACACTCCAAAGACATGCTGGTAGGTGAATTGGCTCCTGTCTAAATTGTCCCTAGTATGTGTATGTATGAATGTGAGTTAGGGACCTTAGATTGTACGCCCCTTGAGGGTCAGGGACTGATGTGAATGTACAATATGTATGTAAAGCGCTGTGTAAATTGACGGCGCTATACAAGTACCTGAAACGGTTAGCATGCACTACTGAGACTTGGCCTTTGCTTTGGGACCCACAAGAACTGCAGAAATATGTTAAGCTTTTTTTAATCACATAGAGGTCCATCAATTTGAAAAGAGACAGCAGTGGTTGGCCAAGTTTGGCCATGCAACCTGAATCAATGCCATCGCACCTGCCTGTGTGGGGGGCATACACAGAGGATAGATAATGAATGCAAGACATAAATCCGATCTCCAGCTAAGGCTCCATTCACACTAGTGCGACTCCAATGTAGCTCGATTTCGAGTGCAATTTTGGATGGGTGAGACTTGGATTCTACTTTGGCTTTGACCAATGATAATGGACAACTGTGACAAAACTTTCGTGTGTATACCATTCAGGTGCGACTTTTGAGGGTTTACATTGCAGTCTATGCCACTCAAGTTGCATGAAAGTCAGATCAAAGTAGTGCAGGAACCTTTAAGTCGCACATATTTGAACAGTTGTCATTGAAAAAACAAGGGGTGTGAATTGTCATGTGACTTTAGTGTCCAAAGTTGCATGACAAGTCGCACAAGTGTCAATGGAATCTAACACATTTCTTTATCCTGTTGTTTGGAGAGTAGGGTTAGACCATCTCTCAGTCTGCCATTTCCAGCCCCAGTAGAGATTTTCCCTTTCTGTCTCTTGACACATTACAAGAAATTAGGAAAATAGGTGTCACTGGGAAAGGAAGATGCAGACCACAATAAAATACCATAGAATGTTCTAATCCTTCCTCGGTCTCTATTGGTAAGTTTTCCTATTACTTCCTGTCCCTGTGACTCCCAATGTCCTTGTGATGGGAAATTCCCACAGCTTTAAAACTGATCTCCAGCTTTTAGCAAGGCGTAAGGACCTGGATCCCTGCTGGGATCTGTAGTTCCATAGCCTATTTTTCCTGGGATTGTTCTTGCAGAGATCTCCAACAGCCAGGCTGGGCAATGGGCTGAATCTAGATCCAGTGGTCACACATCCCTTCTTGATCCAGTGATGCGCACAGGAGCCACAGCTATCCCAGGGTCATTGGCTCCCACTGCTGTCCATCACAGCCAGTGTCAATGAGAAGAGAGTGGAGGGTGGGGCTGAGCTGAGCCGTGGCTCTATGTGTTTTATGGACGCACAGAGCGGGGCTTGGGAACGAGCACACACTAGTGTCCCCAGAGCAAGCGACTTGCTAATGGGGGCATTGGTCAAGGGGGAGGAGCACTGGCAGGGGACTGTAGAAGAAGAAGATCGGGGCTGCTCTGTGCAAAACCATTACACAGAGCTGGTAAGTATGACATGTTTGTTATTTAAAAAAAAAAAAAACCCTGAACCTTTAATATCACTTTAAGCTTTTCCCACTTCATCCATTTTTTGAGAAATTTTTCCTTAACATGTAAACCGAATTTATTTTTTATTATGTTTGGACCCATGCCTTACTGTATATAGTTTTCCCACCTGGAGATCCTGTCAGTAATGGCACTTGCTTTTGAAAACGGACAACGCCAAGCCACTGCCTCAAAGTTAGCAACAGCGTTGTCAGTCTGCCATGTGCGCACCCTAGGCTGCCTACCTGATAGGCAGTCCAATGGCCAGCTGAAGGAGAGCTCACATGGCAACAACAGTTTTATGGCAAGCATTGCCTGACTGGTACTCATAGATAGAGACTGGAGGAGGAGGAGGAGGAGCATGCGTAGGAGCAGTAAATTCCTTTATGCCTACATACTCCTTCCCATCTTGGAGGAGAGTTGTCTTTAAATGCCACCATTGCCTAAGTCCACAGCTTCACCACCGTACCAGGAGGAGGGGACGTGACACCTCTGGCTAAGTTTAGGCATTTGTTGAGAAGAGTTGTCACCGGTGACTGGAAATGCAGCATCCTTGTATAATGGTTAGAAATTCAGTAATGATGTCTTTCCACCAATGGATCTCGGTGACATCCAATAACACCAAGTTGGAGCAAGGTTTATGGAACATGCTTTTCGTATTGCTCCAAGGTCATCTGTAACAAAGACCCTAGCGTGTTCAGCCTGAGCATGCAAAGTGGGTGGACTTGACTTAGACTGTTTGCTTAGAATTACTGCAGAACAGTACAGGTATTCAGACAGCTTGAATCTGGTTCCAGTAGATATAACATGGTGGTTCCATTGATGAAGTAATGCCCCATGTGGACCCCCCCCTCAGGACCCAAGCCAAATTTTTTGGAGATGATGAAAGAAAAAAAAATTTAGCTAGATTTTGGGTTTAGGTTGAATCTCACCATCTTTCAGGAGGTTCCAACTGTTCCACACAGAGCCCTCGGCCAGCACCGGTAGACCCAGTTCTCCTTGGAATAAGACCTACAAGAAGTAGACACAATTAGCCCAGGACTACAGAGGAGAAGGACCATCCAAAAAAAGAATGGGCCACAGGAGAGATCTGCCCGTCCTACCACCTGTCGTAGGTTCCTATACTTTGAACAGATCTAGATCATGGTGGGTCAGCTAGAAACAAGCAACAGCTTCTCTTCTATAGTCTTGACCAAGCAGGGTTTCAGATCACCTCCTACAGGAGTAGGACGCTAGGCAGAAAAAAAGACTCGACACCTCCTATGGGCAGTCCTCTGTAGGGACAACCCCCCCTCTCTGCTATATTCAAGCCAGTTATTCCTGTCTAGTGCTTCCAGGGTAAGGACCTGGTTTCCTGCTGGGACCTGTGGTTCCATAGCCTATTTTTTCTTTTCTTTTTTCCAGGGATTTTTTCCTGAAGAGATCTCCAATAAACAGGGCTGGGTGACTGGCTGGATAATCTAGATCAAGTTGCCACACGTCCCTGTGTTCGCCAATGACGCAAAATAAAAAACTTTTTTTTTGTTACCATAAAATTACCTTTTCTACCCCTCCATTGGAGTTTTTTTCTTGCTGACACTCCTTGTAACTAACTGGCTTGCCTATAGCAGAGAGAGGGATTTGTTCTTGGAGTGGATTGCCCATAGGCGGTGCTGTGTCTTTTTTTTCTGCCTAGTGTCCTACTCCTGTAGGTGGCGCTATATAAACCTGTTTTTTTTTTCCAAGACCAAAGAAGAGAGGCTGTGTCCGCCAATGAACTCAGAGAAAGAGATTTTACGGGGAGTTAAAAAAAAAAAAGTTTTGGATAGAGTGGAGAGGGATGAGAACCCCTATCAGAATTCTAATGCTGTCTTTGCCCCTGTTAGGGAGAATCACTCTCTACTTTTGTCCTGTGTACAGGGGCGGACTGACAACTCATGGGGCCCCCGGGCAATAGGGGATCATGGGGCCCCTGTGTCCTTGCCCAAACTCAAAAAAGCCTATGAAAAAGGTACCAGGGGCATCTCATGGGGCCCCCTACTGACCCCCAGCAGCACTCGAGTTTCCAAATGGTCAGTCCGCCCCTGGCTGTGTACCATTTTCACTGAGAGTGAAAGAAAAATCCCACGTTTTTGAGTTGTCACCAGAACATAATTAGAGGGGAAATCTTCCAATGGGGACACTAGTTCTGGATGGATTCCCTCACTTGGGAGGGATTTCCTCTCCTGCTTTTGATATGGAAGTGAAGGCGAATCTCCCCAAATGATCAATTACTATTATTAAAAAAAATTATCATCAATTATTATTAAAGAAAAAAATGCCTTTAACTATTTTAAAGCCCAACTAACTCTTGGCACAAAAAAACTTTTATTTAAATACATTTCTCAATATGTACAAAGGACATGAATCCACCTTGTGCGCAGGTATCAAGGGAGGGAATGCCTTAATGGGGGTTGGATTGGGGGGGGGGGGGGGGTGCAGACAGCAATAAAAGCAAGTTGTCTGGTATAGTAGGGAAGGATTAGAACCTGTCAGGATTATATTGCGGTCTGTGTCCCCACTGGGGAGATTCACCTCACTTCCTGTCCTGGTGAGAAGTGTTCAACAAATCAGGAAGAGTAGAAAGAGAAAGCGAAGGCACATATTGACCACCCTATGGGAGGAATGTGGGGTCCATTCTATGACAGTTCGTCTTTTCCAAGGGCTATGGATTGCATGAGGCAGACTGATAGTAAACTATAAGGCCGACCTTTACAGCCCTTTGGAAAAAAATTGCTTTACATTTTTATTTTTTTTTTATAAATCTTTCTTGGGGGGGGTAAGCAAATTTTGTCTAAATACAAGAGTCATACATGTTCTTCCTTGATGTGCTCTGTGTATTTCTTCCAGATCTGTGCTGTAATCCAGTGGGAGACTTCCTGTAATAAAGACTGGTCCCTGCTGTTCTCTCTCCTTGTACAGGGTGGACTGGTCTCATCTCCACCCCTCCTGTATTTCTGCAGACAGCTTGTTGTGGGTGGAGCCTACTGGGCCCCTCCCACAGCTCTGCTCAGGTTATGTACAGAACTTTAATGGGGGTCACAGCTACTTTTACAAAGGTAATATCTAAGTTTGCAAAGGCATTTGGAGCACACAAAGCGGATGTTTATATTTTGTGGCTATGGAGGAATATATTTCAACAAAAAGTTCAGCTTTAAGATCTGAAGAACACATTTTTAAATCAAATTGCCTTTTTTTTTTTAATTAAAGTTTACTTCTCATCCACACTTAATAACAGAATAACACCAGTCACCTTGTCGACTTTAGGAAGTACAGCAACAACGTGACTGGCCAGGACCTCCCCAGCGCTCCGAAACACCCAGCGGCACAAAGCATCCCCCTTGTTGGCTCCTGGAATGAAATAAGTCAGAGATACATGTTCAGTAGCACTGCTTACTATGAATTCTGCTTTGCTGCAAAGGGAACCTGTCATTGAAAACAAAAATCACACTGCACAGGGTGCATGACAACAATGACAAATAACTATGATAGATAGAAAAAAAACTATGTTAACTATGAATAAAGCCTGCTGTGAGTGCCATCATATCACAGTCCAGGTACAGATTACATGGTCTGTGGATCAGGGCTGGATCTAGCCTTCCAATGTGGGGGTGCAGTAAAAAAATGTCAGGGTGGCAGAGGACAGCGCTGGCAGGACAGAGGACAGGGGTCCCCGCTGGTAGGGCAGAGGACAGGGGTCCCAGCTGGCAGGGCAGAGGACAGGGGTCCCAGCTGGCAGGGCAGAGGACAGGGGTCCCAGCTGGCAGGGCAGAGGACAGGGGTCCCAGCTGGCAGGGCAGAGGACAGGGGTCCCAGCTGGCAGGGCAGAGGACAGGGGTCCCAGCTGGCAGGACAGAGGACAGGGGTCCCAGCTGGCAGGGCAGAGGACAGACACACAGCTCCTTCCCCCATCTCTGCACTGCACACAGCCTGGGCACAGGCAGTATAGCTCCTCTGTACACGACGCATAACTGAGATCTGTATAGTGTCAGTCAAAGAACAGTATAATGTCAAACTAGGGTGGTAAATTATCAAATTAGGGTGGTATTGTGTCAATTTAGGGCAGCATAGTGGCAGGTCAGAGTTGGGTCTGGATGGGGAGGGGCTCAGCCCACCCCAGCCCCCCCCCCCCCCCCCCCTAGATCCAGCCATGCTGTGGATGCCAGGTGCATTGTGGGTGGTTGACTTTGGCAGAGATTGCAGAGTCTATGGTTTTCAATTACAAAAACCTTATCAGTTCAGTGGGAAGCAGAGTCTATATAATGAGTAAATATGGTTACTGTCCGTTCTGTTTCTTTTGTAATTTAACCCCCTCCCGCCTAAGGGTAAAACAAATCTTAATGCCTAAGCACAATTTTGCAACTTTGACCTGTGTTTGCAAAACCGTATATATCAATCATCACAACTACTTTGTGCATCCAGGTGGATCATACCTTGTTTTTTGTTTTTTTTTTTCAGGACAAATTGGACTTTCATTTGGTGGTAAATGGTAATGGATATCTCCTGATTTTTTTTTTTTTTTTCTACCAAAGGAATAACTGGCCAAAAATAGTAAACAAAAAAAAACTGTTTTTCAAATTTAGCTGTATATTTTTTGCTACTACCATAACCTACCACCAAAGAACAACCCAAACAAATTTCTCCTGCTCCTGACGATCGCAGCGATACCACATTTGTGTCAGTTGTTGTTTGTATCCGTAGTACAGCCCAGAAAAAATTGTGTGCAATTTGCTTCTTTTTATTTTAATCCTGCCACTAAGTGACACTGATACCAATTAAATAAACAAAAACGAAAACCCCCCCCCAAAAAAAAAAAAAAAAAAAAAAATCAACCTAGACACTTGACCCTGACCCAAACACTAACCCTGGCACAGATCTAGATCAAACCTTGATCTAGGTATTTTTATTTATTTTTTTTTTACTCTGACAGATGGAAATACAATGTATCTCTCCTCCATGCAGAGAAAGAAAACAAGCGGGGGCTGGCTTCACAGTGACTGATCACTGTGATAGCAAATCAGAAGCTATCACAGTGATCTGGTGACCCGGAATCAGGAGTTCTGGGTCCCGATTGTTAGAAATGGAATATGTATATGTGAAATATTTTTGCAAATATGTTGTTCTTTTTGTACTGGAAAAGCAAATAAAAGTTTAAATTAAAAAAAAAATTAAAAAATAACAGGACCCAGGGCTCTCAGTGACACCCTGGTCTTTATGTTGGGAGTGCGCTGCTCCCAGCGAAAAGACAGGCACGCAAATTAGCAGCCCCACAGTAAAAAGCCCAGTTCTTTGAGGCTGCTAATTTGCATGCAGTCGGCATCAAGGGGTTAAAGCGTACATAAATCCAAGAACAAAAAATGTAACACATTGCTTACTAGTCGTCATATGTGGTGTCTGCATTAGTTTTTTTTTTTTTTTTTTTTTTTTTTTTTTTTAACCTGATGATCTTTCCAGTAACACACTTTCTGTCGTAGGATGACAACTCTTACCATACGATCTCTGGTTGATCAGTGTTGTCACCTTAGGACAGGACTACAGAACATGTCCCCCCTCTCCTCCATAACAGAGGTAGACAGACATAGCTGGGGTCAATGCTTACTGATGAGAGTGCAGCACAGCCAGAGAGCCCAGGAAGTTATCAGCGCACAGGATTTCTGGCAGGACCAACAGATATTTTGTGTGCACTTATTGAACGGCTAAAACTAGAGGCTATCAAATATAAAAGCGAGCAAATAGGAGACGTTCATTCGTTAGGGTTCAAGTACACTTTCATCGTGAAAATGACGAGCAATACCTTCTGCCAACTTCACGCAGAATCCGGCTATCTTGGACTTCTCAAAGGTGCGGTAGAGGTGGGTGAGAATACCAAGCCGATTAGACACCTGCAATTGGAGAGAAGATCAATAAATTGTAGGGAGAGGCCCAGGATGTGTTCTAGCCCCCTGGATATGTATGGGTGCCCGTTATACTGCGCCTGTTCTAAAGTGACATATCCATAAAAGGTGAAGTCTGGTGGGGCTGCTTCACGTTCTTCTGCCTGGAGAGGATGCTTCCAATAAACCAGTGGTCTCCAAACTGCGACCTGGGGGCCAGATGTGGCCCTGTGCCTGCCTTTATCTGGCTCTTGGGGCATTACTCCATCAATGATGTAGCACCAATTCCCCTACTGACTCCATCAATGAGGCAGTATTCTTCTCGTTGATCGACAATGGAGAGATTTTCCTCCCATAAAAGTGTTGGACACAAGTGTACTTTATTGTTTTTTTTTTGCACTATAGCTTTGTTGTGGTTTATTGATACTCACAATTTCATATATTATGTCAAGAGATGATGAACACAAAGATTTTTGATGTATAAATTTATGACATGAAACACTTTGTTCTATTGCACTTTATGATTGATATTTGTTTATCCTATGATATACAGTACATGTAGCACTTTTTAAAGAGACAGCGCACCATTTTTTGATTTGGAGGGGGTGCTTGCCTGGAGTGTTCCCTCTGAGGACCTGAGCTGGAGGCCCTAAGAACTTTAGCTGCTATGTGGTAGTGTATATGTGGAAGGAGCTTGGCTAAAAGGTCTGTCTAGAAGGAGCATCCATAAGGAATCTTTTGGCTGAGCACCACAGAGGATATGGGTAGAAGCTACTGCTGGACAACATAAGATTTTGCAAAAAGAATTATTTTGGGTCTTACATTAGCTGGGAGCCTCTGCTGGAGACCCAGGAACTTTAGCTGCTATGTGGTAGTGTATATCTGGAAGTAGCTGGGCTAAAGAAGGTTTGTCTAGAAGGAGCATCACTAACAAATCTTCTGGCTAAAGAGCATCATAGAGGAGCTGGGTAGAAGCTACTGCTGGACATCATATGACTTTGCAAACAGAATTCTTTTGGGTTTTGCATCAGCTGGAGGCCCAAGAACTTTAGCTGCCCTGTGGTAGTGTATATCTGGAAGTAGCTGGGCTAAAGGAGGTCTGCCTAGAAAGTACATCAGTAAGAAATCTTCTGGTTAAAGAGCATCATAAAGGAGCTGGGTAGAAGCAACCACTGGACATCATAAGACTTTGCAAAAATAATTCTTTTGGGTCTTGCATCAGCTGGAAGCCTCTGCTGGAGGCCCAAGAACTTTAGCTGCTATGTGGTAGTGTATATCTGGAAGGAGTTTGGCTAAAAAAAGTTCTGTCTAGAAGGAGCATCCATAAGGAATCTTCTGGCTGAGCACCACAGAGATATGTATGGGTGCCCGTTATAAGCTACTGCTGGACAACATAAGACTTTGTAAAAAGAATTCTTTTTTGCCTTGTATCAGCCGGGAGCCTTTGCTGGAGATCCAGGAAATTTATCTTCCCTGTGGTAGTGTATATCTGGAAGAAGCTGGGCTAAAGGAAGTCTGCCTAGAAAGAACATCAGTAAGAATTCTTCTGGTTAAAGATCATAAAGGACCTGTGTAGAAGCAACCACTGGACATCATAAGACTTTGCAAAAATAATTCTTTTGGGTCTTGCCTCTGCTGGAGACCCAGGAACTTTAGCTGCCATGTGGTAGTGTATATCTGGAAGTAGCTGGGCTAAAGAAGGTTTGTCTAGAAGGAGCATCACTAAGAAATCTTCTGGCTAACTAGCATCATAGAGGAGCTGGGTAGAAGCTACTGCTGGACATCATAAGACTTTGCAAACAGAATTCTTTTGGGTTTTGCATCAGCTGGAGGCTCAAGAACTTTAGCTGCCTTGTGGTAGTGTATATCTGGAAGTAGCTGGGCTAAAGGAAATCTGCCTAGAAAGTACATCAGTAAGAAATCTTCTGGTTAAAGAGCATCATAGAGGAGCTGGGTAGAAGCTACTGGTGGACATCACAAGACTTTGTAAAATTAATAATTTTTGGCCTTGCCTCAGCCAGGAGCATGTGCTGGAGGCCCAAGAACTTTAGCTGCCATGTGGTAGTGTATATCTGGAAGTAGCTGGGCTAAAAGGAGGCTTGCCTAGAAGGAACATCTGCTAGGAATCTTCTGGCTGGAGACTATCAGAGTAGTCAAGACCCCAACTCAGTGGTTGTCAACTTTTGAGCTATAGTGGGCCTCAACTATGGTCCCTGACATCACCAAAGAGCCGCACATAATGTTCAATATATGTAATGCTTGAAGGGGCTGCCAACCTGCAGACCTAATAGAGGAAATGAGGGTTAGTGACTGTGCACATTCTACATTTTTGGCCTGGAGACATGCTGCAGGAGACAGTACAAAGCTAGGCGGAGATCAATGCTCTTACCCCAATCAGTGATCCCACTACAGACTGCTGGGGCCGGAGCACAGCACATCATATACCAAAGGGCCACATGTGGCCCTCGACCACAGGTTGGGCACCAGGGGCCTAACTAATTAGAGAGAGATCCACTGCAACTCAAAAAAGACTACGACTGCTCTTACAGGGTCACACTGTAGTTCTCTGGCTGCTGTCACAAGGCCAGCTATTAGCAAGACGTTGGTCTTAAAGGGCCTGCTTCTACTTTTAGGCAGCCCATAGATGAGTCAGCAGGTTGATCGAAAATAACCAACTTGATTCCCCCTTTCCCACACTAGAGGTGGATGGGGGAATCCTCCCGCTGAGCTATTGTATTCTGACAGTGGAGAGACTTTCCCCATCATCAGAATCCACTGATCAGCCCTGCAAGCTTTAGCCTGCAGCGCTGATCGAGCAGGGAAAATCGGAGAAGGCAGTTGTACAGAAGCTGATTGGTAGACCACAGTGCCCATACATGGATCGAAGTTCTGTTGATCCCTGTTAAAGTTCGATTCATCTGTGACTGGCTTTAGACAACCTGTATTCTTTTTGAGTATTCTGCACCTCTAACCCTCTCTTCTGGATCAGGGGTAAGCAAGTATATGTAGAAAGACTAAAGTGATCGGCACCCAACTTACTGTATTTTTCACTCCATAAGATGCACTTTTTTTCCTCCAATAAATGGGGGGAAATGTCAGTGCGTCTTATGGAGCGAATATGGAGCGGCCGGCCCTGTATTCCCCCTGTCGCCGCTGTGTTAGAATACCGGGCCGGCCGCTCGGCTCTTCTGTGCAGCAGAACCTGCTCCTCAGTCCTGCTTGTTCCTCGGTCCAGCTGTGTCCTCATCACCTCATCATCTTTAGTGTAGGCATCGGGCTGTGACAGCTTGTGGCTTCACAGCCAAGTGCCCACTGCGCATGTGCGAAAACTTCTGCGCTTTGTGAATGGGTGTGAATGGCCCCGTAGTCTTCTGGGACCTGTCACGTGTCCCAGAAGACAATGGGGAGAGGCGATCGCAGTGGTCCCAAAGGTCCACAGTCTCTGGTCACCTCCTGTGCCGTGTCCGCAGTCTCTGGTCATCTCCTGTACCGTGTCCGCAGTCTCTGGTCATCTCCTGTACCGTGTCCGCAGTCTCTGGTCATCTCCTGTACCGTGTCCGCAGTCTCTGGTCATCTCCTGTACCCTGTCCGCAGTCTCTGGTCATCTCCTGTACCCTGTCCGCAGTCTCTGGTCATCTCCTGTACCCTGTCCGCAGTCTCTGGTCATCTCCTGTACCCTGTCCGCAGTCTCTGGTCATCTCCTGTACCGTGTCCGCAGTCTCTGGTCATCTCCTGTAGTACATCTGCAGTCTCTGGTCATCTCCTGTAGTACATCTGCAGTCTCTGGTCATCTCCTGTAGTACATCTGCAGTCTCTGGTCATCTCCTGTAGTACATCTGCAGTCTCTGGTCATCTCCTGTAGTACATCTGCAGTCTCTGGTCATCTCCTGTAGTACATCTGCAGTCTCTGGTCATCTCCTGTAGTACATCTGCAGTCTCTGGTCATCTCCTGTAGTACATCTGCAGTCTCTGGTCATCTCCTGTAGTACATTTGCAGTCTCTGGTCATCTCCTGTAGTACATCTGCAGTCTCTGGTCATCTCCTGTAGTACATTTGCAGTCTCTGGTCATCTCCTGTACTATGTCTGCAGTCCATTGGTTCAGAATATTTTTTTTCTTGTTTTCCTTCTCTAAAACCTAGGTCTAGGTCTAAAACCAATTCTTATGGTCAGGTGCGTCTTATGGAGTGAAAAATACGGTACTTCCCTCCCATCACCATATACTAAGAAACAGACCCCCGAGTTGGAAATGTTAGGGTGCCCCACTTAGGCCTCATGCACATGGACACTTACTAGCTCCCGTAGGCTGAGGTGTAAAATCCCAACACTTTTGGGTGCCCAGGGAGCAACTGTACACAGCCATGCTTGGGTGAATGCCGATGGCTTCTGCATCAGTGTTTACCAGCACAGGCGCATATAGTGCCTATCCCCAAATGTGAAGCGACCAGGGAGAAGCACCGTAAGCACATGCATCGCGGACACCCTGGTAGGGATACATGGAGGCACTTCTCACATCCATAACATATGTAAAGAACAACCTCTAAAAGGGAGAAAGAGTAATTGGGATCTGCCATTTTTTCCCTCGATGGGCCTGTGTTCAGCAAAGACCATGCGATTGCTTTAAATACCCACTGGATGGAACATTCACATACAGGCCTGCCACGCAGAACTTGGCATTACCCAGAAGCCATTTCTTTTAGGGTGGCCATACACATTAAAATCTGGTTGTACAATTTCTGTGTAATCTTTCTGAAATTTCCCCTAACCATGTGGGAGGAAGGCAAACCCAAACAATCCATTCCCTTTGCTCTCCATCGGGCAGGCTCTTAAGCTGGCCAAAGACTGAGCTAATGTTGGTTGGTTCCTTAAGAACTGACAGAAATTCACTCAGTAGGTGGCCCTGTCAGCGGTCTCCCATCCGACATTCCTCAATTCAAAAACTGAAAGGAGTCGAGTGGAAAATTTTCAGCAGCTTTTTGGATGCGGCTGACCATGTCAGCTGTCAAAACACAAAGCCCTGATGGGAGATTTTCCATCCACGCTGTGTAGGGTGGATGGAGGAATCTGTTAGATTTTTGTACTCCATAGGCTGAACAAACTATGTGTATTCCCAACTTTACACTACATAGTTGTTGGTAGATCTAAATGGGATTGTACAATCATATTGTATAGTGTATGGTAAGCTATTAGAAAAAAATGCTACCTGGAAATATGTAAACATGGCTTCCTGCACGTAACTGATGTCGCAAGGTGGTACCACCAGGTTGTCAATGGCGTCAAACACAGTTTTCATCGCTCGGTGGGATATCCAGTATGCTGCAAGAAGACAACACGGGGGCTAAGAATATGCATACATCATACATACTAGGGGGGGTAAAACTGGGGGAATCATTGGTGGAGACGGATCTGGGAGTTCTGGTAGATCACAAGCTTAATAATGGCAGCAATGCCAAGCTGCAGTTTCTAAAGCGAGCAAAATACTCTCTTGTATTAGGAGAGGTATAGACTCCAGAGAGAGATATCATTTCCCCCGGTACAAATCATTAGTAACACCTCATCTGGAATATGCAGTTCAGTTTTGGGCACCAATTCATATAAAGAACATTGGGGAACTGGAGAAAGTACAGAGAAGGGCAACCAAACTGATAAGAGGCATGGAGGAGATCAGCTATGAGGAAAGATTAGAGAAACTGAATTTATTCTCTATTGAGAAGAAAAGATTAAGGGGGGATATGATCTCCACGTAAAAATACATAAGGGGAGATATGATCACCATGTATAATACATAAGGGGGGGATATGATCTCCATGTATAATACATAAGGGGGGATATGATCTCCATGTATAATACATAAGGGGGGATATGATCTCCATGTATAATACCTAAGGGGGGATATGATCTCCATGTATAATACCTAAGGGGGGATATGATCTCCATGTATAATACATAAGGGGGGATATGATCTCCATGTATAATACATAAGGGGGGGTATGATCTCCATGTATAATACATAAGGGAGGATATGATCTCCATGTATAATACATAAGGGGGATATGATCTCCATGTATAATACATAAGGGAGGATATGATCTCCATGTATAATACATAAGGGGGGGTATGATCTCCATGTATAATACATAAGGGGGGGATATGATCTCCATGTATAATTACATAAGTAGTTCATATAATGAACTCAGTGTAGAGATATTCACCCTGAGGTCATCACAGAGGACAAGGGGGCACTCTTTACATCTGAAGGAAATGTAATCTCCAAAACACGGAAAGGTTTCTTCACAGTAAGAGCTGTGAAAATGTGGAATAGACTTCCTCAGGAGTTGGTTGTGGCCAGCTCAGTGGTTTGCTTTAAAAAAGCCCTGGATTCTTTCTTGGATACACAGAATATAACTGGATACTAACATTTATAGGTAAAGTTGATCCAGGGAATATCCGATTGCCTCTCGGGGGATCAGGAAGGAACTTTTTTCCCAGCAGGAGCAAATTGGATCGTGCTTTGCTGGGGTATTTTTTTTTGCCTTCCTCTGGATCAACTGTGGGTGTAGGATTATAACTTTTTTCTTTTCATTTTTTTTTTTGGTTGAACTGGATGGACTTTTGTCTTTTTTCAGCCAGACTAACTATGTAACTATTAGCAGCAGTGTAGTAATGCAAGTTAAATAATTGCCAAGAACAATGTGAATAAACCTAAATGCAATAAAGGGTTGGCATTAGCAGGTATGAGGTAGGGTAATATGGCATATCAGTAGAGAGCTAAATGTAGTATTTACCTACTGTAAATGCCATAGCTGCCAAGTGACTTAGACCTGCAGGGCAATCTTGCTATTTGGCACACGCCCTGCTGGGTTCCAGTCCTGAAAGATCCAGATCACTCTGCCGAGTCTATTTCAGCACTGGAGCTGGGGAGTGATCTTCTGCAAGATGATGATGGGGGTTTGCATTCCAGTACCAACATCATTTGGCTATTCCACCAAATGACCACCATTGCTGAGGCATTTTTCCCCTTTCAACAAAGCTGTTCTAATTTGTCTGTTTTTAGCCCTCAACAAAGTTAATTATTTCCTCCCATTGACCTATATACATTAAATGGCCAAAAGGTTGTGGACAGCCGACTATTACACCTAACTAAATGCCCTAAAGTATGTGAGCCCCCTCCAAATGTGTGGGTTCAGGTGTTTCCACTGAAGTGTACTACAACATAAAAAGACACTTAGGACAATTATGCATATCCAACTTTGTGACAACATCTTGGGGAAGGTCTGTATTACGTTCCACCGTGATTATACACCTACACACAAAACAAACTCCATTAACACATGGTTTGAAAAGTTTGGTGTAGAGGAATTGGAGTGGCCTGCTCAGATCCCTGGCCTCAACCCTACTAAACACGTTAGGGATGAATAAGAATGAGCCAGGTCTTCTCAACCAACATCTCCATAAAGACATGGATTGAGGAGTTTGGTGTGGAGGAACTGGAGTGGCCTGCTCAGATCCCCAACCTCAACCCTACTAAAAAGGTTTGGGATGAATAAGAATGAGCCAGGTCTTCTCAACCAACATCTCCATAAATACATAGTTTGATGAGCGTGGTGTAGAGGAACTGGAGTGGCCTGCTTAGATCCCTGACTTCAACCCTACTAAACAGGTTTGGGATGAATAAGAATGAGCCAGGTCTTCTCAACCAACACTTCCATAAAGATATGGTTGGCCTGCACAGATCCCTGACCTTAACCCTACTAAACACGTTTGCGATGAAATGGAATGCCAGTTGTGAACCAGGTCTTCTCATCCAACATCAGTACATGACTTCACAAAGGATCTTGGGCTGTGATTCAGCACACATTCCTGCAGACACATTCCAAAATCTTATGGGAAGCCTTTCTAGAAAGGTGGAGTTTGTTCTAACTAGAATATATTTGGAGGTTATTATTGTCCATGGTTTGGGAATGCAATGGCCAATATGCTTAGAGATGTAATGGTCAGGTGTCCACAACCCTTTAGCTATATAATGTATCTAATTTACAGTACAGTAATGGAAATCTGATCTTTTACTGACAAAGAAGTACTTACCTGATCCTTCGTCTCCCATTAGGTGCCCCCATCCACCACAGCCAGTTACAGTGCCATCAGGATTCACCAGTTTGCAGTTGGAACCAGTCCCAGAGATCAGGACCACTCCACCTGTTGAAATGCAAGAAGGGGGATTCAGCAAGAATGTCTTAGCCCTTTCACTGCCAGAGCCATGTTTACATTTTTAAAAACATTTAAAAAAATCATTTTAGGCCTGAACATTACACAAACCCCCCAAAATTATATATTTTCTGAAAGCAGACACCCTAGAGAATAAAATACTGGTAGTCCCAATTTTTGTATGTCACACAAGATTACCGCAAAGGTCTAAAAAACACAAAAGTTCAGTAAAAATACAAACATACTATAGTGAATTTTAGGGCAAATAAAACACAATAAATTACCCAAATATTTGGTAAATTATAAAAGACGAGGTTGCACGGAGTAAACAGATACTCAACATGTCAAACCTTAAATTTGTGTGGGCCTATGAAATTGCGTCAAACTTCAGTACCCTAAATTTTCTATAGCCAACGCTTCAAAAGCCCCTACAAGTTACAAGTTTAGTGTCATGTTGGCGGTCTTGTGCTAGAATCTCACTCCTGGGTGCGCAGCGATATGCAACATGTGTATCACAATCAATGTTTAATTGCGTAGGTGACCTCAACACTTGGTTTACGTTCGTACACATACGTGTATATGGGGGTGGGGGGGGCATCAAAATTTTTTGGGTGAGGGTGTTATGTGCTTGGGTGTAACTATTTTTTACAATAACATTTTTTTTTTTCTTTTTTTTTTCCATCACATAATGGACACAAAGTCCCCTATGTGATGATTTTTAGGTGACAGGTCCTCTTTAATGAGACATACAGGGTCTAACTGTATATTGCATTGCAATACATTTCTCCCCAGCTATTCTAGCCGGAGAAAGTGACAGTGATGACCCGGGAGTGACGTCATATACGTCGCCTTCTGGGTCACAAAGTAGGGGAGGAGAGCAGACGTGTTTCCACTCTCCCCTATACCTGCCATGTCGGCCCCGGGCCCGCAAATTGGCAAGTGCAGCCTGCAATACATGGAAGCCGCACGACTGCTTCCACCTGACCAGCAGGAGTCTGCCTGTCAGTTGAAGACACAATCCCGGAGGTTGCAGCCCCTGGATTGTGTGTACAGCACCTGCTCAAAGGCTTTGTATGGCCAATGGGTCAGGTCCTACAGGTAAAGGCTAAGTCTCTGTTTTGCACAACAGTAACTTAAGATTGGCAAATTTCAAACACAAAAAATTCTCCGGGAAGGTGGGGAGGAACCCACTTTGAATAAAATATATAAAAGTATTTTTTTTCATAACCATTAGCAAGAACACCACAATTCATCCTGGAGGATCTGTAGGACCCTCTACTTCAAGAATTTGTCAAAAGCAACTTAATTTGTGTGATTTTAACTAGCTGTGGACATGGGATGTGCTACACATGCCCAAAAAACACAGCAAAGCGAAACAAAAACGAGAAGCGCACAAACCTTGTGCATTACCTCAGTAACCAAAATGTATTAATTATAAAGTGATAAAAACAGCGAATAATATCAGGCATGTAAGTCCTCAGAGGGACTTTAAAGATAAGAAGCCAGCGCGAATCCCATCATAGGGGTAGATATTCAGTACAGCTGACGCGTTTCGAAGGGCATCCTTTCTTCATCAGAGCTCTTACATGCCTGATTTTATTCGCCGTTTGTGAGTATCATTTTATAATGAATACATTTTGGTTACTGAGGTATGGATGCAGATCGAAGTTCATCTCTTTTTGATCTGCAGATGAATGAAAGAGTAGATACAAAAGTAACAATGTTTCTTTGTGTCTCTCTATCTTGCTTTGGACCTGTCTAATACATCTTCTACCACTGCTGTATATTCGCAGCAACTCCCGGCTGTTATTTTGACAATCAGGAATAGCCAGCAAGTGTGCAGAGTGTGTGAATGTGCAGAAGGACAAGGCGTACTACCTATGCCCTGTGTTCTTTTTGATAAACCAGAAACGAATTCTCCTGTGCTCTAGGACCTAGGCGGGTGGCGGATGGATGGAACCAGAACTGGAAAAATCGACCCCCAGTGCATGTAGAGTTGTGCAGCTCCAAACAAGGCTGGGGAAACCCGACCAAAACTGCAAAGCGAAACAAAAACGAGAAGCGCACCAACCTTGCGCATTACCTCAGTAACCAAAATTTCTTAATTATAAAGTGATACTCACAAACAGCGAATAAAATCAGGCATGTAAGTCCTCAGAGGGACTTGAAAGATAAGGAGCCATCGCGAATCCCATCATAGGGGTAGATACTCAGTACAGCTGACGCGTTTCGAAGGGCATCCCTTCTTCATCAGAGCTCTTACATGCCTGATTTTAGTCGCAGGACCGGTATCTGCTCCTTTGTGCAAGGAGGAACAGGATGAGTACTGCCAGAGTATCATTTAAGAATTAATAAATTTTGGTTACTGAGGTAATGCACAAGGTTGGTGCGCTTCTCGTTTTTGCACAGGCAGTCCAACTCCTCCAGGATGGCACATCAATACGTGCCATTGCCAAAAGGTTTGCTGTGTCTCCCAGCACAGTCTCAAGAGCATGGAGGAGATTCCAGGAGACAGGCAGGTACTCAAGGAGAGCTGGACAGGGCTGTAGAAGGTTCTTAACCCATCAGCAGGACCGGTATCTGCTCCTTTGTGCAAGGAGGAACAGGATGAGTACTGCCAGAGTATCATTTTATAATTAATACATTTTGGTTACTGAGGTAATGCACAAGGTTTGTGCGCTTCTCGTTTTTGTTTCGCTTCGCAGTTTTGGTCGGGCTTCCTCAGCCTTGTTTGGAGCTGCACAAATCTACATGCACTGGTGGTTGATTTTTCCAGTTCTGGTTCCATCCATCCGACACCCGCCTGGGTCCTAGAGCGCAGGAGAATTAGTTTCTGGTTTATCAAAAAGAACACAGGGCATAGGTAGTACGCCTTGTCCTTCTGCACATTCACACACTCTGCACACTTGCTGGCTATTCCTGATTGTCAAAATAACAGCCGGGAGTTGCTGCGAATATACAGCAGTGGTAGAAGATGTATTAGAAAGGTCCAAAGCAAGATAGAGAGACACAAAGAAACATTGTTACTTTTGTATCTACTCTTTCATTCATCTGCAGATCAAAAAGAGATGAACTTCGATCTGCATGTTATGTTTGTTAAAGCAACCTGACAAAAAAAAGTCATAAAAATATAAAGCTTCCTGTGACTGGATGAGCAGCACCCAACACGACTCAATTTTGTTCCATCAGCTGACAGGAAGTCTCTGTCCTTCTGCCGGAACACAGAACTGTATATTGTGTATTGTTGATGCCACATACAGGTTATACAGCGTTGACAGCAGCAGCATGTAATAGTAAAGGAAATACACTGCTCAAAAAAAATGAAAGGAACACTTATTAATCAGAGTCTAGCATCACGTCAATGAAACTCCTGGGATATTGATCTGGTCAGGTAAGTAGCAGAGGGGGTTGTTCATCAGTTTCAGCTGCTTTTGTGTTAATGAAATTAACAACAGGGGCACTAGATGGGCAACAATGAGACGACCCCCAAAACAGGAATGGTTTTACAGATGGAGGCCACTGACATTTTTCCCTACTCATCTTTTCGGACTGTTTTTCACTAGTTTTGCATTTGGCTAGGGTCAGTGTCACTACTGGTAGCATGAGGCCGTACCTGGACCCTACAGAGGTTGCACAGGCAGTCCAACTCCTCCAGGATGGCACATCAATACGTGCCATTGCCAGAAGGTTTGCTGTGTCTCCCAGCACAGTCTCAAGAGCATGGAGGAGATTCCAGGAGACAGGCAGTTACTCTAGGAGAGCTGGGCAGAGCCGTAGAAGGTCCTTAACCCATCAGCAGGACCAGTATCTGCTCCTTTGTGCAAGGAGGAACAGGATGAGCACTGCCAGAGCCCTACAAACTGACCTCCAGCAGGCCACTGGTGTGAATGTCTCTGACCAATCAGGAACAGACTTCATGAGGGTGGCCTGAGGGCCCGACGTCCTCTAGTGGGCCCTGTGCTCACTGCCCGGCACCATAGAGCTCGACTGCCATTTGCCATTGAACCCCAGAATTGGCAGATCCACCACTGGCACCCTGTGCTTTTCACAGATGAGAGCAGGTTCACCCTGAATACATGTGACAGACGTGAAAGGGTCTGGAGAAGCCGTGGAGAATGTCCTGCTGCCTGTAACATCATTCAGCATGACCATTTTGGTGGGGGGTCATATCCATGGAGCGATGCACAGACCTCTACAGGCTAGACAATGGCACCCTGACTGCCATTAGGTATCGGGATGAAAACCTTGGACCCATTGTCAGACCCTACACTGGTGTAGTGGGTCCTGGGTTCCTCCTGATGCACTACAATGCCCGGCCTCATGTGGTGAGAGTATGCAGGCAGTTCCTGGAGGATGAAGGAATTTTTACCATTGAATGGACCCCACCGTCGCCTGACCTAAATCCAATAGAACACCTCTGAGATGTCATGTTTCGGTCCATATGACGCCAGGTTGCACCTCAGACTGTCCAGGAGCTCAGTGATGCCCTGGTCCAGATCTGGGAGGAAATCCCCCAGGACACCATCCATCGTCTCATTAGGAGCCTCACCCGACATTGTCAGGCATGCATACAAGCATGTGGGGGCCATACAAACTACTGAGGACCATTATGAGTTGCTGCAATGACATTTCAGCAATATGGACTCGCCTGCTGCATCATTTTTTCACTTTGATTTTTGGGGTGTCTTTGAATTCAGTCCTCTGTAGGTCGATCATTTTCATTTCCATCAAACGATGGGACATCCTTACCTTCCTAACACATTACCCCGTCCATGTCAGTATAGAGATCCAGCAGGAGATTTGTCCCCATTGAGATCTGATGGGTTCTCAGTGTTCCTTTCACTTTTTTGAGCCGTGTATTTAGAGGTGTCGGAGGGCGTGGAGACGTTACCCAGTTTTGTCGCGGTTGCCATGGCACCTAGGGCGTCGTTGCAGATGTAGTAATTGTCGCTGAGCCGAGGGTAGCGCTGGTTGAGCTCTTCGATGAGTTTATTGATGGCCTCTTTCTGCTCCCCGCCACTCAGAGACATGCCCTGCGGAGAATCAGAGGACACAGAGAAAGATAATATTGGGAACAATGGACGATAAGCAAAGCGCATCGCAAGTACAGGGGCTGCTCTCCTGACTGATGGGGTGCAATGAGCTTGTAGCGCCCCCCACAGTGTGCATACAGCCAATGCACCTGAAAAGGGATCACCTCGAATGTCTGGTGTTGACAGGAGCCCATCCCCTCACCAGACTCCCCGGACCACCCACATACCTCAGCAAAGCACACCAATAGGTTCCTGAGGCACAGTGATTTTATTAACCCCTTCCAGTCCGGACACTTTCCCCCCCTTCCTGTCCAGGCCAATTTTCAGCTTTCAGTGCTGTCACACTTTGAATGACAATTGCGCAGTCATGCAACACTGTACCCATAGGAATATTTAACATTTGAGACAGATAAATCTTTATTTTGGTGGTATTTATTCACCGCTGGGAGTTTTATTTTTTTTTGCTATGTAAATTAAAAAGTCCAAAAATTTAGAAAAAAAGTGTTTTTCTTATAAAATTTTGCAAATAAATAATATTTCATCATAAATCTTGGCCAAAATGTATTCAGTTATCTTTTCAGTAAAAAAAAAAATAATAACCCAAATTAGTTTATAACCAAAAATTATAATTTTTTAAAATTATTTTTATTATTTGTTTATTTTTTTTACATACTGTCACCCTAGCAGTACAGTGTCACCATGGTGACACTGTGCTACTTGTGGGGGGTGATGAAGATTTTTTTTTTTTTTTTTTACACCGATTGCTTTTACACCCATAAAGGCTGTAAAAGCAATCATTTCTCCTTCTCTCTAGCTGCATTCTTGCAGCCATTGAGAAATACTGTGTGAGCTGTGATTGGTCACAGCTTGTCACATGGTACAAGGCTATCATTTACATATTAATTGGCCCAAGTTTGGGGGGTTTGCAGAAACATTCTATTACGGATAAAGGCTTATCTTGCATGTTTCATATCATATGCATCAAATGCCTTTGCAAGCCTAGATATTATCTTGTAAAAGTAGCAATGACATCATCACTGTGCTGTAGCCTGTGCAGAGAACAGAGCTGTAGGAGGGGCCCAGCAGGCTCCACCCACCGAAGGATGTCGGCAGAAAACTACAGGAGGGGGCGGGGACGAGACCAGTCACCCTGCACAAGGAGAGAGAGCAGCAGTGAGCGGTCTTTATTACAGGAAGCCAAAGTCTCACAATGGATTACAGCACAGATCTGAAAGAAGAATGGATTTAGTGTCCGGTCATACCGGTGCAAATTTCATGTGCGTTTTGGGAATTGAAATCACACCCGATATCGCATCTAATGAATGTGAATGTCGGTGTCTTAACATTTGCCATTGGCTGCGACGCGATTTCTAAAGTAGCTCTTGCATGACTTTTTCTGCAGTTTTGTTGCGATTTCACATACATAGAATATAATGGAAATCGCACTACAAATTGCAAGAAATCGTTTAAAAAATCTTCACAAGTAGCAAGAAAGTCTTCAGAAATCGCACCCGAAATCGCACACAAAAATCGGAAGATTTTAAAATTGCAGGTGTGTGACCGGATTTGCTGATCCTGGAGATTTAGTTACTGGTCCCCCGCTGCAATTTAAAATCATGTGATTGGTGTGCAATTTCAGGTGCAATTTCTGAAGACTTTCTTGCGACTTGTGATGATTTTCAACGATTTCTTGCAATTTGCGGCGTGATTTCTAAAGTAGTTCTTGTGTGACTTTTTCTGCAGTTTTGTTGCGATTTCACCTACATAGAATATAATGGAAATCGCACTACAAATTGCAAGAAATCGTTTAAAAAATCTTCACAAGTAGCAAGAAAGTCTTCAGAAATCGCACCCGAAATCGCACACAAAAATCGGAAGATTTTAAAATTGCAGGTGTGTGACCGGATTTGCTGATCCTGGAGATTTAGTTACTGGTCACCCCGCTGCAATTTAAAATCATGTGATTGGTGTGCAATTTCAGGTGCAATTTCTGAAGACTTTCTTGCGACTTGTGATGATTTTCAACGATTTCTTGCAATTTGCGGCGTGATTTCTAAAGTAGTTCTTGTGTGACTTTTTCTGCAGTTTTGTTGCGATTTCACCTACATAGAATATAATGGACATTGTGCTGCAAATGGCAAGAAATTGTTGAAAATCATCACAAGCCGCAATAAAGTCTTCAGAAATCGCACCTGAAATTGCACACAAATCGCATGATTTTAAATTGCAGCGGGGTGACCGGTAACTAAATCTCCAGGATCAGCAAATCCGGTCACACACCTGCAATTTAAAATCTTCCGATTTCTGAAGACTATCTTGCTTCTTATGAAGATTTTTTAAATGATTTCTTGTAATTTGCATTCTGTTCTATGTATGTGAAATTGCAACAAAACTGCAGAAAAAAGTCACGCAAGAACTACTTTAGAAATCGCGCTGCAGCAAAACACAAAATGTTAAGACACCGACATTCACATTCATTAGATGCGATTTCAATTTGCAAATCACGCCTGAAATCGCACCGTTATGACCGAGCACTTATGCAGGCCATAGACGGGTCGAAAAAACTGGCCGTTTTTTTATAAAAAAAAAAAAAGAAAAATCGGTTGTTCGATCGGCTGACGTTACCACCAACGGTAAAAAGAAAAAAAACGCCGATTTTCGACCTGTCTACGGCCGGCATTTAATTACTTCTGTCCCTGCAGAGAGCTCCGCTATTATATTCTATATGAAAAGACTTGCGGTTGCAACATTCTATCTATTTGTATCCATTGCAGATACAGATGGTTTTATTCGGATACAAATGGACACATTGTTGCAACCGCAAGACTTTTTCATGTCAAATATAATAGCGGACTGGAATTCTTCTTTCTTCTTCTTGCAGGTCACGGCTCATGCGCAGATTTTTTATCGGTAAAACGATCGGCCGATTTGCCCATCATTGCTGGGAAGATCGGCTGATCGTCAAAATCGGCTGCAAATTTTTCCAACTTGACTGATAAAAAAAATGTGCCAAAAAACCCCAAAAAACGGCCGACCAATTAACCCACTAATGGTGTGAAAATCGGCCGATTTTCGACCCGTCTATGGCCGGCATTACCGCGTCTGACAAACCCTTTCCCTGTTACATAGCATTATTATTATTATTATTATTATACAGTATTTATATAGCGCCAAAGGGTTTGCTCAGCGCTGTACAGTAGCAGGGGGACAGAACATGAGACAAGACGGTAACAATACAATACACGAGGGGTTCAAGGGCCCTGCTCTTTTGAGCTTACAGTCTAGGGGAGGGGATGGTGATGCTGGAGGAGATGGCTGTGGGGGATGGAATGGTAGGAGGAGTGGAGGAGATCGGCTGTTAGGTGACGGTGGGGTAGACTTCCCTGAAGAGATGGGTTTTCAGGGTGCGCCTAAAGGTGAGGAGGGTAGGGGACAATCTGATGGATTGGGGAAGTGAGTTTCAGAGGATGGGGGAAGTCCTGGAGAAGTCCTGCAGTCGGGCGTAGTAGGAGGAGACCAGGGAGCTAGAAAGTAGGAGGTCCTGTGAGGAGCGAAGAGTACGGGTTGGGTGGTATTTGGGTATCAGGTCGGTGAGGTAGTTCGGGGCAGAGTTATGAATGGCTTTGTATGTCAATGTTAGTAGTTTGAATTTAATGCGTTGGGCAATCGGGAGCCAGTGGAGGGAATGACAGAGGGGGGTGGAGCCCAGTGGAGGGAATGACAGAGGGGGGTGGAGCCCAGTGGAGGGAATGACAGAGGGGGGTGGAGCCCAGTGGAGGGAATGACAGAGGGGGGTGGAGCCCAGTGGAGGGAATGACAGAGGGGGGTGGAGCCCAGTGGAGGGAATGACAGAGGGGGGTGGAGCCCAGTGGAGGGAATGACAGAGGGGGGTGGCAGAAGCAGAGCGGTTGGTAAGGTGGATGAATCTGGCCACTGAGTTCAGGATAGACTGAAGAGGGGATAGTCTGTGATGAGGTAGGGCGGTGAGGAGGGAGTTGCAGTAGTCCAGAAGTGAGATAATAAAGGAGTGAATGAGTAGTTTAGTAGTGTCTGGGGTTAGGAACGAACGTATTTTGGAGATGTTGCGGAGGTGGAACCTGCATGCGGTAGTCAGCGATTGAGCATGGGGTTGGAAGGACAGCTCTGAGTCTAGAGCAGCAATGGGCAAACTACGGCCCGGCAGACCTTTTAATCCGGCCCGCGGAGCTAGGCTCCCGCTAGGCTAATCTCACAGTCCGCCCTGAAGACCGGTGTAGCATGAAAATCTGTCTCCTATGAGGATCTGTCCCCCTCGACGTATCTGCGCATGTGCCGGAGATCGCCGATCGGCTGCTAATGCCTGAAACTGGCACATGCGCAGATACGTTGAGGGGGACAGATCCTCATAGGAGACAGATTTTCATGCTACACCGGAACGGCGCGGGAACACGGCGAGAGGAACGCGCGGAGCAAAGGTAAGTGAATTGACACAGGGGGGACTTGGGGACTTAATATGGGGGGATGAATTACTATGGGGGATGAATTACTATGGGGGATGAATTGCTATATGGGGGATGAATTGCTATATGGGGGGATGAATTACTATATGGGGGAATATTACTATACTTACTATGGATGACACATACACATCATTCATCTACTCTTGGTCCGGCCCCCGGGTCCAATATATGAACCCATTGCGGCCCTCAAGTCAAAAAGTTTGCCCACCCCTGGTCTAGAGTGACACCTAGGACCTTGGCTTGTGGGGTGGGACTTATGGTAGCGTCGTTGGTCATGATGGAGAGGGTGGGGGGGAAATTAGGAGCGGTTCAGTTTGAGGAAATGGAGCGACATCCAATCTGATATGTCGTTCAGTAGGTGGGTGATACGGGCGGAGACTGAAGGGGTGAGGCGAGGGGTGGAGAGGTAAATTTGCGTGTCATCGGCATAGAGATGGTAGTTGAAGCCATGGGAGTGTATTAGTTTGCTGAGGGAGGAGGTGTAGATGGAGAAGAGAAGGGGCCTGAGGACAGAGCCTTGGGGGACCCCAACAGAGAGGGGGAGTGAGGGGGAGGTGGTAGCATTATAGGTAATGCTGAAGGAGCGTTGGGATAGATAGGAGGAGAGCCAGGAGAGGGCGGAGTCTCTGATTCCAAGGGAGTGTAGTTTAGTAAGGAGGAGGGGGTGGTCAACTGTGTCGAAGGCCGTGGAGAGGTCGAGGAGTAGGAGGACAGAGTAGTGGCCCATTAGCTTTGGCGGTTAGCAGGTCGTTAGTGATTTTGAGTAGGGCGGTTTTGGTGGAATGTTGGGGGCGGAAGCCGGATTGTAGGGGATCGAGGAGGTTGTGATTGGTGAGGTGGGCGCTTAGGCGATTGTATGGCAGTGTTTCTGCACAATGCTGAGTGCCCTCTAATGGTCTCTGCGGGTTCTTACCAGACATCGGATGGGGACCTGGGTGTCCAGCCCTGCCTTCTCCTTGGCCTCGGTGACCATGGTATAGATGGCTTCCAAGCACCGCTCTGTGCCAACCAGCTGCAAGCAGACCAAATAAAATCAGCATTACACCTGGCGCTGCTATACAACATGTCTGCCTGTGTCCCAGAATATTCCTCTGACACCGAACACAACGATCCCTCCACCCAAACCTGATAATTCACTGCCAGACTCTATTGGTGAGATCTCTGTGCTGAGTTCCAGGGTTTGTACACATGCTGTGCCCATTATGAGGGGTTCCCACCATCCCTGTGCCGAGTTCCCGGGTCTGTACACTCACTGTGTCCATTATGAGGGGTTCCCACCATCCCTGATTATTATTTTTTTATCATTGAGTAGGAGGAGCTGGAAAATGCAAAACTCCTAAAAGGACAGGAACAGAGCTGGGAATTACGGCCGGGTGATCTCACTGCTGGAGGATAATTGAGAACAGTGCTCTCTAAACTGCGTCCCTTTGCTTGCCTTTATCTGGCCCTTGCGCACTATTACACCCATCCACTGACACCAATAATGAGGCACAATTCCTTCCATTGATACCAATGACGGGCCATTACTCCTTTCACTGACACCAGCAATGGGGCACTATTCCCCCCACTGACACCAGCTATGGGGCACTATTCCCCCCACTGACACCAGCAATGGGGCACTATTCCCCCCACTGACACCAGCAATGGGGCACTATTCCCCCCACTGACACCAGCAATGGGGCACTATTCCCCCCCACTGACACCAGCGATGGGGCACTATTCCCCCCCACTGACACCAGCGATGGGGCACTATTCCCCCCCACTGACACCAGCGATGGGGCACTATTCCCCCCCACTGACACCAGCGATGGGGCACTATTCCCCCCCACTGACACCAGCGATGGGGCACTATTCCCCCCCACTGACACCAGCGATGGGGCACTATTCCCCCCCACTGACACCAGCGATGGGGCACTATTCCCCCCACTGACACCAATGATGGGGCACTATTCCCCCCACTGACACCAATGATGGGGCACTATTCCCCCCACTGACACCAATGATGGGGCACTATTCCCCCCACTGACACCAATGATGGGGCACTATTCCCCCCACTGACACCAATGATGGGGCACTATTCCCCCCACTGACACCAATGATGGGGCACTATTCCCCCCACTGACACCAATGATGGGGCACTATTCCCCCCACTGACACCAATGATGGGGCACTATTCCTCCCACTGACACCAACGATGGGGCACTATTCCTCCCACTGACACCAACGATGGGGCACTATTCCCCCCACTGACACCAACGATGGGGCACTATTCCCCCCACTGACACCAACGATGGGGCACTATTCCTCCCACTGACACCAGTGATGGGGCACTATTCCTTCCACTGACACCAGTGATGGGGCACTATTCCTTCCACTGACACCAGTGATGGGGCACTATTCCTCCCACTGATACCAATGATGGGGCACTATTCCTCCCACTGACACCAATGACGGGGCACTATTCCTCCCACTGACACCAATGACGGGACACTATTCCTCCCACTGACACCAATGATGGGGCACTATTCCTCCCACTGATACCAATGATGGGGCACTATTCCTCCCACTGATACCAATGATGGGACACTATTCCTCCCACTGACACCAATGATGGGGCACTATTCCTCCCACTGATACCAATGATGGGACACTATTCCTCCCATTGATACCAATGATGGGGCACTATTCCTCCCACTGATACCAAGGATGGGGCATTGTACACACTCACTAGACTTCAGGAAAATTTCTACTCACACTGACCACAGTCCGGCCCGCATAAAGTCTCAAGAACAGTAAAGTGGCCCTTTGTTAAACATCTTTGGAGACCCCTGTGTTAGAAGGTCAGGGGCCGGCTCCGCACTCCGCCTAGAACTCAAATATCACTTAAAGCGCAACTGTAAAATGAAATGGAATTTCCCAATAGGGCCCCGTGTTCCGGTGACAACTCAGCTTTGTACATTCCATTGTGGACACGCTGAGGTCACCGATGGCAGTATAAAGCAGACAGAAGGGGTTACTAATCCTACAAACAGCTTCACATGCACTGTAAGGGCCTGACATCTGGGCTTTTCATATTATCTGGCGCCATCTTGTGAGTATTTTGTGAATTGACACTTTTCCAGCAGAGAAAGTCATTGCTATTAAAGAAGAAAAACATATTTCAGAGCCATACGGGGGCGCTGTCCTGTGTCTGGCCACCTACATACTGCATATTATTAGAGTCTTCAATAAATCCATTTTAAAGGAAATTGTTAGCAAACAACGCTACATGCTACAGGAGAGGGTCAGAGAGTGTAGACACAATACAGGAGAGGGTCAGAGAGTGTAGACACAATACAGGAGAGGGTCAGAGAGTGTAGACACAATACAGGAGAGGGTCAGAGAGTGTAGACACAATACAGGAGAGGGTCAGAGAGTGTAGACACAATACAGGAGAGGGTCAGAGAGTGTAGACACAATACAGGAGAGGGTCAGAGAGTGTAGACACACTACAGGAGAGGGTCAGAGAGTGTAGACACACTACAGGAGAGGGTCAGAGAGTGTAGACACACTACAGGAGAGGGTCAGAGAGTGTAGACATACTACAGGAGAGGGTCAGAGAGTGTAGACATACTACAGGAGAGGGTCAGAGAGTGTAGACATACTACAGGAGAGGGTCAGAGAGTGTAGATATGGTACAGGGGAGGGTCAGAGAGTGTAGATATGGTACAGGGGAGGGTCAGAGAGTGTAGATATGGTACAGGGGAGGGTCAGAGAGTGTAGATATGGTACAGGGGAGGGTCAGATAGTGTAGATATGGTACAGGAGAGGGTCAGAGAGTGTAGATATGGTACAGGAGAGGGTCAGAGAGTGTAGATATGGTACAGGAGAGGGTCAGAGAGTGTAGACATACTACAGGAGAGGGTCAGAGAGTGTAGACATACTACAGGAGAGGGTCAGAGAGTGTAGACATACTACAGGAGAGGGTCAGAGAGTGTAGACATACTACAGGAGAGGGTCAGAGAGTGTAGACATACTACAGGAGAGGGTCAGAGAGTGTAGACATACTACAGGAGAGGGTCAGAGAGTGTAGACATACTACAGGAGAGGGTCAGAGAGTGTAGACATACTACAGGAGAGGGTCAGAGAGTGTAGACATACTACAGGAGAGGGTCAGAGAGTGTAGACATACTACAGGAGAGGGTCAGAGAGTGTAGACATACTACAGGAGAGGGTCAGAGAGTGTAGACATACTACAGGAGAGGGTCAGAGAGTGTAGACATACTACAGGAGAGGGTCAGAGAGTGTAGACATACTACAGGAGAGGGTCAGAGAGTGTAGACATACTACAGGAGAGGGTCAGAGAGTGTAGACATACTACAGGAGAGGGTCAGAGAGTGTAGACATACTACAGGAGAGGGTCAGAGAGTGTAGACATACTACAGGAGAGGGTCGGAGAGTGTAGACATACTACAGGAGAGGGTCAGAGAGTGTAGACATACTACAGGGGAGAGGGTCAGAGAGTGTAGACATACTACAGGAGAGGGCCAGAGAGTGTAGACATACTACAGGAGAGGGCCAGAGAGTGTAGACATACTACAGGAGAGGGCCAGAGAGTGTAGACATACTACAGGAGAGGGTCAGAGAGTGTAGACATACTACAGGAGAGGGTCAGAGAGTGTAGACATACTACAGGAGAGGGTCAGAAGAGAGTAGATATACTACAGGAGAGGGTCAGAAGAGAGTAGATATGGTACAGGAGAGGGTCAGAGAGTGTAGACACAATACAGGAGAGGGTCAGAGAGTGTAGACACAATACAGGAGAGGGTCAGAGAGTGTAGACACAATACAGGAGAGGGTCAGAGAGTGTAGACATACTACAGGAGAGGGTCAGAGAGTGTAGATATGGTACAGGAGAGGGTCAGAAAGTGTAGACCAGCTATAGAAGTTGTTGGAGACTGGAGACACATGACAGAGGACTGCTGGAGATCCCCGGTATTGCACTCTTCACACACAAGTTCCCCCTACAGCCTTTATAATGACTGGGGGCACCCTAAGCATAGTACAAGTTCTACAGAAGTGTGGAAGAGGACCTGTCTCTCCCTGTAACACATGGACCCGTCCAAGGTACACATCCAGAGAACACCAACCTCCTGGAGGTGAACCTACCTCCCCGTGTATCTGCATTACAAGGCAAGTCATAAACGGTTACCCAGTGATTGGTGCAGGGGCCCTCCGTCTCACACAGGATCCGCCCATCCTCCGCCACCAGCACGGCTTTGGAGTGAGTCCCACCACTGCACAGAGAGAGGGAAATGTCAGCACAGAATGAAGGGAAGACGTTCCATAGCCCCCCGACATCCATCCATCCATCCTGCCAGGGGCGGACTGACATCTCATGGGGTCCCCGGGCAATAGGGGATCATGGGGCCCCTGTGTCCTCGCCCACACTCAAAAAAGCCTATGAAAAAGGTACCAGGGGCATCTCATGGGGCCCCCTACTGACCCTGACCCTCGGGCAGTGCCCGAGTTCCCAAATAGTCAGTCCGCCCCTGCATCCTGCCAACCTGCAGCAGTCATCAGACCTCCAGATACGGGAGCCTCCAGATAACATCCCCCCCTCCAATGTACCTGGGAGGAGATTGACTTCTGTGTGTCCCCGGGGCCCCTAATCAGCCAGCAGTCCTTGACCTCAGCTCCAAGTCAGAGCTCTGGTACAATTGTGGGTACCACATGGGGCCCCTAGGTGCCAGCTATACATTTGCTCACATCTAAGGCTCCATTCACACCTATGCGTTTTCCAGAAACGCACAGCAGTCCATTTACCATGACTTCCTATGGGACGGGTTCCCATCTCTGCGTTTTCACCCGGTGCGATTTTTGGAGGGCCAGGGACTTTTTTTAAATGCAAAACATTGTATTTTGGGTTCTATAGACTTCAATGGAGATGCTACAGAAAAGCATGTAGTGCGTTTTTTACGCGTTTTACGTTTTAATCTGCCCAGCAACAAGTTGAAAAAGAAAAAAACCAACAACCGCAGAACGCATCAAAAACGCACCGCAAAAAGCACCGAGCACTGCATAGGTGTGAACCTAGTCTTAGGGCAGTTCAAATCGCGGGTGGGATCGCTGCTATTGTGCCCACAATTCGAAAACATTGTGTGAAACACGCGATCGCATTTGGAGGCGTCATTCATTTCAATGGCGCCTGAAAATGTGCAGATGGTAAAGCCCCCCCCCCCCGTTGCTGCTGTGCATTTGCATTCTACAGGCGCTTTTGTTGAAGGAATCCCTGTTGATCCTGCCATGGTAGTCCATGCTCAGGCACTTCCTGTTATGGGGTGACAACTGTCTTGGAGCTTTTGCTGCTGCATTGTCCCCAGTCACAATGGAGACTGTGCCGAAACACAATGCGCCAGCAAAGTCAGCGGTTGTCACTGCTGGGATGCTGGAGGGAGCGCATGTAGACAGGAAGTGGCTGCAACAAGCCGCAGGAGATCAGCAGAACTGAGATACCAAAAAAAAAAATGTATGGCATTTATTTTGCCCTTAGAGCAGTGAATGTGACTGCAAGAAATGTGAACTGATTGTTCCAAACAAATGGAAGTGAGAGGGAAAAGGACCGGTCCGGGAGCTCACAGAGGATATGACCAAGAAGCAGAAAAACACAGTAAGGCTAGATTCACACCTATGCAGGTTGTGTTTGATCCATTTCTGCAGGATATTTTGCGTTGCGTTTTTGATGTGTTTTGCATTTATTTTATTTTTTTTTTCACTTGTTGCTAGGCAGATTTAAAACACAAAACGCTTAAAAAATGCAGCAAAAACGCACAACATGCTGTTCTCCAGCATTCCCATTAAAGTCTATAGAACCCAAAATGCAACTTTTTTGCGTTCAAAATAGTCCCTGACCCTTTTTAAAAAAAACGCGGAGATGTGAACCTGTCCCATAGGAATGCATGTTACACGAATTTCTGTGCGTTTCTGCCAAATGCTGCAGGAAACGCTAGGGTGTGATCCAATGGTTGGGCTACATCCACACCTATGCAGTTTGCGTTTGATCGGTTTCTGCAGTGCGTTTTACGTTGTGTTTCTGATGTGTTTCTTTTTCTTTTTTTTTTTTTCTTTGCTAGGCAGATTTCAAATGCAAAATGCATCATAAACGCATCAAAAACGCACTACATGCTTTTCAGCAGCGTTCCCATTGAAGTCTATAGAACCAAAAACGCAACTTTTTGCATTAAAAAAAGTCCCTAAGGGCAGGTTCACACTATAGAAACGCAGTCCAGATGTGTTCTGGTCAGGGGCAGACTGACATCACATGGGGCCCCCGGGCAATAGGGTTCATGGGGCCCCTGTGTCCTTGCCCAAACTCAAAAAAGCCTATAAAAAAAAAAGGTACCAGGGGCATCTCATGGGGCCCCCTACTGACCCCGGGCCGTGCCCAAGTGCTCAAATGGTCAGTTCGCCCCTGGTTCTGGATGCGTTTTTTTGGATGTGCATTTGTTGCCCAAAAAAGAAGTGCCTGCTCCTTTTTCGGGCATGAGTTTCATGCGATTTTTAAAAGGGGCGGCTTCCCATGCTAAAATTGTGTCAGAATCGCACTGTGTTTAGGGTGCCATTAAATGTGCATTGAGCGTTGCGCAGCCACTGACACAGTTTGGAATCGCAGGTAGATTTGCGTCGATTCTGGCTGCGATTCCAAGTCGCCAAGTGTGAATGGAGTCCTACCTGGGATATTCGGCTGAATTCACAGCGTTCGTGTTATTGGTTGAGCGAATTGCATGCAACGTGATGTGTGGCTCACAGGGCAGCCCATTCACATGTGCATGTGTCACCGAAAAGGAAAAAGGAGCTTGAAGTGATTGTTGATGGTGCAGTCTGAGATCACAGCGCAATCCTTTCGCACGACATTCACAGCAGAATTGCATCACGTTTTGGATATTGGCACCCAAACGCGTGTCGCACATTTTGCAGCGACTGTCATGCGATTTGGGTTTGCGGAGATTCTGTTGTGAAGTGTGAATGGAGCCACGGGGTGTTATTAGAATATTATTATTGCCGTTTAGTATTTGTTTTGCAATGGACTACATTACCGCCCCCCGTTTGTACAGCTTTGTACTGCGCCACAGGGGATGACGGTGCTATATACACGGCTCAGGAACATGAAAGGAACACTGTGTAATCAGAGTATAGCATCAAGTCAGTGAAACTCCTGGGATATTGATCTGTTCAGGTAAGTCGCAGAGGGGGTTGTTGATCAGTTTCAGCTGCTTTGGTGTTAATTAAATTAACAACAGGTGCACTAGATGGGCAACAGTGAGACAACCCCCAACAGGAACAGCTTTACAGGTGGAGGTCACTGACATTTTTTCCCTACTCATCTTTTCTGACTGTTTTTTCCCTAGTTTTGCATTTGGCTAGGGTCAGTGTCACTACTGGTAGTATGAGGCCATACCTGGACCCTACAGAGGTTGCACAGGCAATCCAACTCCTCCAGGATGGCACATCAATACGTGCCATTGCCAGAAGGTTTGCTGTGTCTCCCAGCACAGCCTCAAGAGCATGGAGGAGATTCCAGGAGACAGGCAGTTACTCTAGGAGAGCTGGACAGGACCATAGAAGGTCCTTAACCCATCAGCAGGACCGGTATCTGCTCCTTTGTACAAGGAGGAACAGGATGAGCCCTGCCAGAGCCCTACAAAATGACCTCCAGCAGGCCACTGGTGTGAATGTCTCTGACCAATCAGAAACAGACTTCATGAGGGTGGCCTGAGGGCCCGACATCCTCTAGTGGGCCCTGCCCAGCACCATAGAGCTCGATTGTCATTTGCCATTGAACACCAGAATTGTCAGGTCCACCACTGGCCCCCTGTGCTTTTCACAGATGAGATCAGGTTCACCCTGAGCACATGTGACAGACATGAAAGGGTCTGGAGAAGCCGTGGAGAACGTTCTGCTGCCAGTAACATCATTCAGCATGACCGTTTTGGTGGGGGTCAGTGATGGTCTGGGGAGGCATATCCATGGAGGGACGCACAGACCTCTACAGGCTAGACAATGGCCCCCTGACTGCCATTAGGTATCGGGATGAAATCCTTGGACCCATTGTCAGACCCTACGCTGGTGCAGTGGGTCCTGGGTTCCTCCTGGGGCGGGGGGTCCTGGGCTCCTCCTGGGGCGGGGGGTCCTGGGCTCCTCCTGGTGCAGACAATGTCTGGCCTCATGTGGTGAGAGTATGCCGGCAGTTCCTGGAGGATGAAGGAATTGATACCATTGAATGGCCCCCACACTCACCTGACCTAAATCCAATAGAACACCTCTGGGATGTCATGTTTCGGTCCATCCGACGCCACCAGGTTGTACCTCAGACTGTCCAGGAGCTCAGTGATGCCCTGGTCCAGATCTGGGAGGAAATCCCCCAGGACACCATCCGTGGTCTCATTAGGACCCTCCCCCGACGTTGTCAGGCATGCATACAAGCACGTGGGGGCCATACAAACTACTGAGGACCATTCTGAGTTGCTCCAATGACATTTCAGCAAAATGGACTCGCCTGCTGCATCATTTTTTCACTTTGATTTTCGGGGTGTCTTTGAATTCAGTCCTCTGTAGGTCGATCATTTTCATTTCCATCAAACAATGGGGCATCCTTACATTCCTAACACATTACCCCGTCCATGTCAGTATAGAGATCCAGCAGGAGGTTCTTCCCCATTGAGATCTGATGGGTTCTCAGAGTCCTCCTCTCATTGGTTGGAGCCGTGTGTATATATATATAATGGAAGGTGACGGACGTATCATGCAGCCAACATGTGACTTCTAGAAGGAAGCATCTGGGGCTGCCAGTCCAGGGAAGAGATGAGATCTGATTTATATTTATAGATCTATATTTATAGTTGCTATTTATAGATCAGAGAAGGATGCAGAGTTTCCTGTTCCATTGTTTCTGATACAAAGTAACAAGAAGAACGAGGACAGGAGAAATCTATAGATCAGGAAATAGAAGCTCTCACCCCTCCACTCCTCCTCCATACACTGCCGGCATGCTGCTTCTTCCAGCCCTGGCTGGTCATGTGACCCTTGTGTCAGCTGACTCTGCGGAGAGGAGGAGGAAGTGATGGCTGCAACGTAACTCCCTAATAAAGAGAACCTGTCACCGCTCCCTTCTCTACATATCCTGGCACTGCTGTGCAGTTCTTGGAGAAATCCAGAAATACATTCATGTGACCAGGACAGCACTGATAGGGCCACACACAAACAGTGATTCGCTGACGCGCGTGCAGATTTGTGCGATTCGCAGGAATTTGCAGCATGGTGTATAGAGCTCAGCAGTGAGTCATATAA